CCCCCCCCCCCCCTTCGGGTGATCAGCTTTGTCTTTGGACTTCCCGTTTTGGTAATTTTTAAGGCTCCGAAATTCGGCATGGGATTTTTTGGGGTTAATTTCTCGTCCAGGGAATTTTTTGGGTATTATTGGCAGTCGTAGGGATTTTTTTTTGTTCAACTATCATTGATACAGTTGATACAATTCAAGAGAGGATACAATTTTAATAGGTGCAATTATACATCAAGTACCTACAACAGCAGTAAAGGACACCGCTGACTTGTTAATTGAAAACCGAAACCTCACCTTCCTCAGACCTACCTCTACGCACGACAACAATGCCGAACACAACTTCCACGGGCAAGGAAACGCGGGCAGTGCAATGAAGAACGAAGCAGAAAATTGAAGTTGGTGAAACTATTATCTTTAGTTTTACCTAGACAATTTTTTCCATTCGGATTCATCCGCTAAATTGCACGGTAAAGTTGTACAGCCCATGATATGCTACTGCATACCAGGATCTGTTTAATCTGATGGTTTACTGAATACTTGTATCTGAACACGAGACAATGCGATTGTGGAGGTATAAAAGAAAATTAGTTTTCGTGGCATTGTTGATAGTAGTTATCGTTTATGTGGGCTTCATGGTCAACATACGTGAAAAACCCATAAAAAGGACTGAGGTACCGACTTTTCCTCCGTTTATGACGCATCAGAAAGCTGGATCTTTGAATGTAGACATTTGGGAGGACATTTGCGGACACAAGATGCAATCACTAAAACATTTTCCACTCTTTCCGCATCGGCCATCGACACGTTTACGAGCGTCAGATTTGCAACTCTATTTTCGGCCAGAATTCGAAAATTTTGGACTTCGAATATTTGGATATCTGTCCCCCATCGAATCCGGGCTTTACAGTTTTCATGTAGATACAAGTGAGACCTCCGAACTGTGGTTAAGCCCGGATTCAAAGCCAGAAAACAGCATATTAATCGCAAATACAACTGCCGGGATAGCATCAGAGTTAGACAGCAACAGAAATGGGATCTCGCTTCTTGCAGGAAAACGTTATTTTTTGGAAGTTTTACTAAAGCATGGGAAACATGAAAAAGGGAAGCTTCATCACATGGAAGTCAAATGGAAATTATTTCCTGGAATAGGAAGGGACATGACGAAAATCCCCTCTGATGTGTTTGTTCATGATAGGTTTGGTCAACTTGATGAAAAAACAAATGCCGTTCTTCCCATGCACACAAAACGCCTGGATCCTAGCTTTGCAATAGATAGTCAACAGCACCTCTCAGAAATGTATCTCCTTCCTTTCATTAGTGAAAGTGATTCTAAAGATCTTTTCCCTCCATGTGACTACAATCCTTCATACCTGGTGAAAGCACCTTTAAAGAGGTACGGGGCCATTTGGGAGATGCATTATACGTCAATTTATCCTTTTGACTACAGTGATGTTCTTGACAAGGAGAAAGATTTTGTTTCTTTTGGCAATGACAAGTTGGAGAAAGGTATTGCCGAAGCAGTTGTCTCCCAAGTCTGGATACAGCTCAAGAAAAAACAACCAGGGTAATTATGTGTGCTGGTGTATTTCAGTTTTGAGGGACTTTGATTTTTACCCAACTTGGCCAAGTCTATGTCTGTGCTATACTGGATTGCTTTTTTCGTGCGACTTGAAAAGCTATCCATTACAGTTTGAACTGTGGGGGCCCATGGCTGGCTTGTAGGGATTGCTAGCCATGGGAGCATTACTGGGTCTAGGGGCTTACTGGCCGGCCTCCAGTTGAAGCCCCTGGACACCCCACAGACCTATTCGTTTAACTCAATGTTGTACCCAATTCAAATCTCCCGGGATAAGATTCTTTGTGTATTGTATTTGCATTGTAATGTGGCATCACATTTAAATGACATGGAAATTCCTGAAACAAAACGTTTTATTTCCAAAGGGTTTGAATTGGGTACAACATCGAGTTAGCCGAATAGGTCTATTGAATCCTAGGCACCCAACCTTTGTTTAGTGATGCAGTTGGTAAATTCCAATGTAGTGTAAAACATAGAGATACTATATTTAGTATGTAATACGGCTTTAATCCTTCTTGAATTGGGCATGAGAATTAAGCATGGTAGTTTGTTGCAGGGTAAGTTTTGTCAGGGCACCCAACAACAGTACTGTTTTCTATGAAATGTCTGTTCGGAGAAGCAAAAAATGCCTAGAATTTTCTATAACTTGAGGAAGGCTAAAAAAAATTTCTAGATGACTGTTCCATTCATGTACAATTTTCGAAGCTTCTCTAATAATTCCCTACAATTTTCTGAAGTTTAACTTTCCCCTTTCACTCTCCAGGTTAAGCTATTTTTCGTAGAGAAAGGAAACCTAATATTTTCGGATTCAATTGAAAATGCGATGCATAGAGGAATCAGAAAAATTCTCACTTTCATAAATCTATAAATTGCAGCTAAAATTTTGGGGAAAATAATACTGAAGCCCTTGTGATTTCGAAAAGACTCAAGTTGCCCAAGTATGACCGAACAGAAATAAATTTTTTAGCACCACTTAGAATACGTTTCTAGAGGTCTAATAGTACTCTGGATAACCTGAAAAGTGTTTTCAATGCCTTTAGGAGGAAACCATTGTTGGGTGCCCCTGTTTTGTAGTCATTGTCTGAAAGATCGTAGAAGTAAGGTGTTAGTATTTGTGTTGAGTACATTAATTTTAGAAGATTCAACTTTTTGTATTATTCATTTCTTGAGATTTACAGTGTGAGTAACTTTTGGGAATTTGAAGACATTCCTTAATGCAAACCTAAGAATTACCTAGGTGGTTGGGATTATTTGTGTATCCATGTGAATGTCCTGAAAATGACCGTATGAAGCAGGGTAGGGAAGACTTGGGTCTAAAATAGAGTAAGCTTTCAAAGAAGTGTTACACCTCACAACCAGGGCTCGAAAAAAGTGCTGCCTGATAGTCTGGGACAAATAAATTTTCTTGTAATTTGGGCAAGTTACTTTTAAAGCTTACTTTCCCAATGGATAAGGGTCTAGGCAAGTCACCTTCTAACAAAATCGTTAACAAAGACAAGCAAGAAGTGGCCCCAGGCGAGCAAAATGTGAGAGTTTCTTTCGAGTTTCTTGCGAGCTATACCACCCTTGAGGGTAAAATCTTCTAGGGTACGAGAGTCACTTTGATAACAATCAGATTTTTTTCTCTTCAATCTAGGAAATACTCTTTTGTGCAAATCCTAAATGTGGAGGAAAATCGTGACCCAGGAACAGGATACAGGTATTTAGTGGAAATGGAACTCAAAGAAATTTCGAGTGGAAAATCTG